GTGGGAGCTCTGTAGCATTTCTCATATTATATGTAGATGACATACTTTTGATGGGAAATGATATAGAACTTTTGGAGAGCATAAAGGCCTACTTGAATACGTGTTTTTCAATGAAGGACCTTGGAGAAGCTGCTTACATATTAGGCATCAAGATCTACAAAGATAGATCAAGACGCCTCATAGGTCTTTCACAAAGCACATACCTTGATAAGATATTGAAGAAGTTCAATATGGATCAGTCCAAGAAGGGGTTCTTGCATGTGTTGCAAGGTGTGAAATTGAGCTCGGCTCAATGTCCGACCATGGCACAAGATAGAAAAAAGATGAGTGTCGTCCCCTATGCCTCGGCCATAGGGTCTATCATGTATGCCATGTTGTGTACCAGACCTGATGTAAACCTTGCCGTAAATTTGGTAGGAAGGTACCAAAGTAATCCCGGCATGGAACACTGGACAGCGGTCAAGAATATCCTGAAGTACCTGAAAAGGACTAAGGATATGTTTCTCGTATATGGAGGTGGCGAAGAGCTCGTCGTAAAGGGTTACATAGACGCTAGCTTCGACACAGATCTGGATGACTCTAAGTCACAAACCGGATACGTGTATATTTTGAATGGTGGGGCAGTAAGCTGGTGCAGTTGCAAGCAAAGCGTCATGGCGGGATCTACATGTGAAGCGGGGTACATGGCAGCCTCAGAGGCAGCACATGAAGCAATCTGGATGAAGGAGTTCACTACCGACCTAGGAGTTATTCCCAATGCGTCGGAGCCAATGACTCTCTTCTGTGACAACACTGGAGCCATTGCCCTTGCCAAGGAGCCCAGGTTTCACAAGAAGACTAGGCACATCAAGCGTCGCTTCAACTCCATTCGTGAAAATGTTCAAGATGGAGACATAGATATTTGTAACGTGCACACAGATCTGAATGTCGCAGATCCGTTGACTAAACCTCTTCCGCGAGCAAAACATGATCAACACCAGAACTCTATGGGTGTTCGATTCATCATAGTGTAAGTAGATTATTGACTCTAGTGCAAGTGGGAGACTGTTGGAAATATGCCCTAGAGGCAATAATAAAATGATTATTATTATATTTCCTTGTTCATGATAATTGTCTATTGTTCATGCTATAATTGTGTTATCTGGAAATCGTAATACATGTGTGAATACATAGACCATAATATGCCCCTAGTGAGCCTCTAGTTAACTAGCTCGTTGATCAATGGATGGTTACGATTTCCTGACCATGACATTGGATGTCATTGATAACGGGATCACATCATTGGGAGAATGATTTGATGGACAAAACCCAATCCTAAGCATAGCACAAGATCGTGTAGTTCGTTTGCTAGAGCTTTTCTAATGTCAAGTATCATTTCCTTAGACCATGAGATCGTGTAACTCCCGAATACCGTAAGAGTGCTTTGGGTGTACCAAACGTCACAACATAACTGGGTGGCCATAAAGATACACTACAAGTATCTCCGAAAGTGTCTGTTGGGTTGGCACAGATCGAGACTGGGATTTGTCACTCCGTATGACGGAGAGGTATCTCTGGGCCCACTCGGTAATGCATCATCATAATGAGCTCAATGTGACCAAGTGGTTGATCACGGGATCATGCATTACGGTACGAGTAAAGTTACTTGCCAGTAACGAGATTGAACGAGGTATTGTGATACTGACGTCGAATCTCGGGCAAGTAACGTACTGATTGACAAAGGGAATTGTATACGGGATTACTTGAATCCTCGACATCGTGGTTCATTCGATGAGATCATCGAGGAGCATGTGGGAGCCAACATGGGTATCCATATCCCGCTGTTGGTTATTGACCGGAGAGTCGTCTCGGTCATGTCTGCGTGTCTCCCGAACCCGTAGGGTCTACACACTTAAGGTTCGGTGACGCTAGGGTTGTAGAGATATTAGTATGCAGTAACCCGAAAGTTGTTCGGAGTCCCGGATGAGATCCCGGACGTCATGAGGAGTTCCGAAATGGTCCGGAGGTAAAGATTTGTATATAGGAAGTCCAGTTTCGGCCACCGGGAAAGTTTCGGGGGTCACCGGTATTGTACCGGGACCACCGGAAGGATCCCGAGGGTCCACCAGGTGGGGCCACCTATCCCGGAGGGCCCCATGGGCTGAAGTGGGAAGGGAACCAGCCCCTGGTGGGCTGGTGCGCCTCCCTTGGGCCTCCCCCTGCGCCTAGGGTTGGAAACCCTGGGGGTGGGGGCGCCCCACCTGACTTGGGGGGCAAGTCCCCCCCTTTGGCCGCCCCCCCCCCCTTGAGATTGGATCTATAGGGGGCGGGGCCCCCCAGGGCCCCTATATAAAGACCCAGGGCCCCTATATAAAGAGGGGAGGAGGGAGGGCTGCGCACCCAAGCCCCTTGCGCCTCCCTCTCCCTCTGTAACACCTCTCCCTCTCGCTGAGCTTGGCGAAGCCCTGCCGAGATCCCTGCTGCTTCCACCACCAAGCCGTCGTTCTGCTGGATCTCCATCAACCTCTCCTTTCCCCTTGCCGGATGAAGAAGGAGGATACGTCTCTCCCAACCGTATGTGTGTTGAACGCGGAGGAGCTGTCCGTTCGGCGCTAGGATTATCGATAATTTGGATCACGACGAGTACGACTCCATCAACCCCGTTCTCTTGAACGCCTCCGCTCGCGATCTACAAGGGTATGTAGATGCACTCCCCTCTCTCGTTGCTAGATGACTCCATAGATTGATCTTGGTGATGCGTAGAAATTTTTTATTTTCTGCAACATTCCCCAATAGTCTGGCCCAGACGCCATGGGCCTCGGCGTTTGGACCCGTGGCCTCCGCAAAACTCCTTTTGCACTGAGCTAAAGCCTCATGGGCTTGACCCCTTGGCCTCACCATATCATCCAATATATGAATCTTTACCTTCGGACCATTCCGGAGCTCCTCGTCATGTCCGTGATCTCATCCGGGACTCCGAACAACATTCGGTCACCAACATACATAACTCATATAATACTATATCGTCAACGAACGTTAAGCGCGCGGACTCTACGGGTTCGAGAACTATGTAGACATGACCGAGACACCTCTCTAGTCAATAACCAATAGCGGAACCTGGATGCCCATATTGGCTCCTACATATTCTACGAAGATCTTTATCGGTCGAACCGCATAACAACATACGTTGTTCCATTTGTCATTGTTATGTTACTTTCCCGAGATTTGATTGTCGGTATCTCAATACCTAGTTCAATCTCGTTACTGATAAGTCTCTTTACTCGTTCTGTAATGCATCATCCTGTAACTAACTCATTAGTCACATTGCTTACAAGGCTTATAGTGATGTGCATTACCGAGAGGGCCCAAAGATACCTCTCCGACAATCGGAGTGACAAATCCTAATCTCTATCTATGCCAACTCAACAAACACCATCGGAGACACATATAGAGCACCTTTATAATCACCCAGTTACGTTGTGACGTTTGGTAGCATATAAAGTGTTCCTCCGGTAACCGTGAGTTGCATAATCTCATAGTCATAGGAACATGTATAAGTCATGAAGAAAACAATAGCAGTAAACTAAAACGATCAACTGCTAAGCTAACAGAATGGGTCAAGTCAATCATATCATTCTCCTAATGATGTGATCCCGTTTATCAAATGACAACTCATGTTTATGGTTAGAAAACCTAAATCATCTTTGATTAAGGAGCTAGTCAAGTAGAGGCATACTAGTGACACTATTTTGTCTATGTATTCACACATGTATTATGTTTCCGGTTAATACAATTATAGCATGAATAATAAACATTGATCATGATATAAGGAAATATATAATAACTTTATTATTGCCTCTAGGGCATATTTCCTTCAGTTGTCGCGCGTGTAGCAGAGATGCCGCCTCGCATAGTGGCTGCATGGCCCACCGGCTGGGCCCGCGGGCAGCAGAATCTGTCGGCCTATGGCCCGGCAGGAGCAGCGCACGCCGCCTCGTCTTGTGGCGGCTGGGCCCACCAGGCCCGCCCCGTTCCATCCCGGCGAGAGGAACTGTGGTAAATACGTTATACCCCGCGTGGCCGCCTCCTGCCGTGGCGGCAGGGCCCCCCACCTCCTGGCGTGGCGGCATGTGCCACGTGTCACCTGCCGCACCTGCCGCCACGGTCCAGGGGTCTTTTTTGTCAAATATATTGACGGGTAGTACTTTTTGACAATTCTGTTAGCCAACGGGTCCTTTTGGACAAAAAATCATCGATGATATAGTCGCGACATCGACTCATGATGGCCGCGTGACGCACGCGAGCCTCCTCCTCCGCGCCACTGCATTGTGCCACCGCAAGGAATCAGGACAACACCATCTCCAGAGAACCGCCTGGGAGAGAGGAATGATTCAATGCCGCTACCTGGTCAACAAATGCAGTGGGTGGCCCGTATGAAGAAAGATGAGAGGGACGGTTAGCGACGGGAGAGATACGGGGATGAGTGGTGCGAAGACGAGTGGATGTGTTTGCAACGATTGCGTTTTTCCCGATCAATTTCGTTCGCTGACATAGTTGTTCCTCTGCTAAAGATTCGCGATCAAATCCAACGGTTAAAAAGACATTTGTCCCTATTTCATCTCATAAAGTTCCGCCCTCGCAGTTTGGTCAAAAGAGTTAGACCTAATCCAACAAACAATACAAGGAATCTTTTAAAAACTTGAAAAAAAGAATTAGGCCAAACCTAGAACCTGATGTATTTTTAGAACTAAAGAAATGTACTGTGTTTGGGATAACAAATAAATCAAGGTACATACGAGACCGGATGTCATACACAACGACAACCCCCTCGGTCCTCTCTATCTCACTCCCCAGTCCCCACTCCACTCGATTCGCTCTCGCTGAGCAAGCCGGCGCCCGGAGCAGAGCCCGAGATCCCTCCCCGCCGCGCCGGGCCGTGGTTTCCACTAGCCGAGCTCGCAAAAGCCGCTGCCTTCCATCCCTCTTCTCGCCCGCTCGGGGGAGCAACGGAGCCGCGCGCCATGGGGTCCGTGTCCCTGAAGCTGCCGGCGTCCCGCCGCCGCCACGGCGGGCCGCTCTCCTGCCTCTGCTCACCGGCGCCGCTCAACCTCCTCATGCTGCTCTCCCTCCTCTGCACCAACCTCCTCGCCTTCTTCGCCTTCTTCGCCGCCCCTCCCCGCCACGACCCCGCCGCCGGCACAACCCCCTCCGCCTCCTCCAACCTCTCCGCGCACGTCGCCGCCATCGCGCTCGAGATCGGCGGCGGGTCCTCCTCGTCCGGCGCCCGCCTCCCGGACGGCCTGCCCCCGGAGCTGCTCCTCTTCCTCACCCCGCACGCGCTGCCGCTCGGCCGCGACGCGCGGACGGGGCTCACCCACATGCCGGCCTCCGTCGCGGCCTCCTGCCTCCGCTCCCCGTCCGCGCTGGCGCTCCTCTCGGCCTTCATGTCCTACGCGCCCCACTCCGCCTGCCCGCGCAACGCCACCCTCCCGCGCCGGCTCGTCTCCAAGGGCTGCGAGCCGCTGCCCCGCCGCCGGTGCCTCTCCCGCGGGCCCCGCGCCCCGCTCCCGGCCTCCGGCATGGGCCTCGACCACCGCCGCTGGGACGGCCCCGCGCGCGGCGGCGGCCACGAGTTCCTCGTCGACGACGTGCTGCGCCTGGCCGCGTCCAAGATCCGGATCGGCCTCGACGTCGCCGGCGGCGCCGCCAACTTCGCCGCCCGGATGAGGGAGCGCGGGGTCACCGTCGTCACCTCCGTGCTCGACGGGCCCGGGAAGCCGATGAACGAGTTCGTGGCGGCGAGGGGCCTGTTCCCGCTCCTGCTCTCGCCGGCGCACCGGTTCCCCTTCTACGACGGGGTGTTTGACCTGGTGCACGTCGGCACCGCGGCGCTGGACGAGGCCGGGTCGCCCGCCATGGGGCAGGCGGCGACGCCGGAGGCGCTGGAGTTCTTCCTGTTCGACGTCGACAGGGTGCTGCGCGCCGGCGGGCTGCTCTGGATCGACAGCTACGTGTGCCAGAGCGAGGAGAGGAGGCGAGTGGTTGCCAAGCTCGTTGACAGGTTTGGTTACAAGAAGCTCAAGTGGGTCGTCGGAGAGAAGGCCGGCGGTGCAGCGACATCAACCTACCTCTCGGCGGTGCTGCGAAAGCCGGCAAGAAGCTGAAATCATACTACACAAGGATTGTTCAATCCAGGCTCCTTGGTCAGAGGTACGACGACTGTACCTTCAAATTGTTTGTAGCTCGCAGATTTTGATGGGACGACAAGGAATTTTTTAGATTACAGAAGAAACCGGTGCTACGGATTAGCTTGATTCCATTGGTTGTTGAATGTTGAGAGATAGTGACTGAAAATAACTGCAAGATTGTACAACTCTTCTACATTGGTTGTTGAACGTTGAGAGATAGTGACTGGAAATAACTGCAAGATTGTACTTCCTTCGATTCATATTACTTGTCGCTCAAATGGAAGTATCTAGACGTATTTCAGTGCTAGATACATCAATTTGAGCGACACGAAATATGGATCAGAGGGAGTTTCTACATTTGTTGATGCTATTAGATGGGACACAAGCCGTGCAGTGCTACTTTTGTTGCTCTATTGGTGAATTGCAATTTGTGGAAGAGGTTGGCAAATGGTGTACACTGTACTGATCTTCCATTTCAGGAAGAATGCGAAATTAACTGACGCTGTTCGAATCGAGCTACCTACCCATGATATGGTCCATCCAAGTCTATCATTGATAGTATGTTGTGCAGCTCCTTTCAATCCATCTGTCTATCATTAATTCCCATCTAGCTTAGGCAAACCTGCATAAGCAAAATAGTCCAACAATTGGTTATCTTATTTATCGTGACAATTATTAACTGACAAAATTATTGACATCTTGTGCTTGAAGCTTGATTACGAATAGCTTTTATTTTCTGAAACAATATGTGTTTTGCGCTAATTTACGTGTCATGCAAAAAATATCATGTCATATTTTGTTGTTTTTCTATTTGACACTGGCCTACAGATATGAATTCATTATAGTTAGTTACATGAGTTGCCGTGTATCAGAGTTATTATATGACATGTTCCTATCTAATTGTACTAATTTATAGCAACACCATGTCCATATGGATCAGGTTATTAAGGTGCTTTGCTTCTTCTGGAGCAGTGGGAAACACAACCGATTTTTATCATCCGAAACCAATCAAAATATAGTTGCCGGTGCATTTCATACAGCCATAGCATCACTGATGTTCAATCTTCGGATTTCTGATGGTCTAAGGCGTCTAGAAAAGGAGGATACACTATATCTCCGAAGTGCATATGAAGTTTTCTTAACCGCAGACTGAAGAGTTGCCATGTAAAAGTTTTTTGCCGAACATAAAACTATCAATTCTAGGAGCACCATCTGATGAAACCAGGGATTTCTGTGCTTTCCTTCCCTGTACATACACAAACTGCTTACCTACAAAATGAAGGTCAGGATGAGTGAATGACTGTATCAGCAGGCAGCAGCACATACACATCTCCTCCAAAGTGTAAAGGCTGCCTGAAATGCTGCATTGTTACCGTTATGCGACGTAAATCATGTTAGTGCTATATGGAACTGTTATAATGTTCACCCCTGTTTGCTCTCAGTTTTCGTTGTTACTAGGGAGTGGTTGCAGTTTGAAATGCTAATTTCCTTGGTGAGAATTTGTGGCATTTTAGTCGTTGAAATGGTTCGTGGCTTAATATTTTTGTGTATTTTTGATCCTTCATGTTCAGTGCACACATTGGTCCTACTGATTTTGGCAACTGGGTAGGAATAAGTTCAGAATTTTGGTTGATCGGCTTTCACCAGTCGGCAGAAAAAAGGTTGGTACTTCGGTGATATATAATCTTGCGAGTGTTGCTAGCTGGGGTCTTTCTTTGCTGCTGCTTCTGTGACAAGGTTTGTGTTGGCCGGCGTTAATTTTCTGTGACAAGGTTAATTTTCTGTAAGGTTCCATGTCTTTTTGTTTTTGTTCATCATAGTGGAACCTAGTTTGTTCCTTTTACCCCCCAAAAAATGGACCAGGTATAAATGTGTTAGTTCCCAGTTCATCTTTATCTGGTTGAAGGTTTGTAGCTTGCATGGTGACAGTTTCACCATGGTGTTTCCATTATTTATGTATCTTTCACCATGTTATGTTGCGACTGTCTCTTGATGTGGATGCTGAATTGGCGAGATTGATTGGCTTTTTTTGGGACACTCGATTTGGCTGAATAAATTTGTTGCCCAGTATTTTTGTTCTTCATAGTGTACCCTGGTCTTGTTCCTTTTACCATCAATGTGCTAATTCCTAGTTCATCTTCATCTGGATGAAGTTTTGTAGATTGCTTTGGTGACAGTTTCACCATGATGTTTCCATTATTTATCTACAAAAAAATGATGATAATTTGGCTGATTCAGATGGCGACAGTTTCCACAGCAACACCTCGAGAAGTCGAGATGTATAAAAGAACTTAAACTTACAAAAAGATAAAAATGCGCATCCAGGGAATTAAACTTACAAAAAGATAAAAATGAGAAGAAATGCTCATCAATTGGATTCTGTATTCGGATTTGCAAAAAATGAGCAAAAAAATTAGATCCCCATACCTCTCGCATGCTAAGCGAGCGCTCTACCATCTGAGCTACATCCCCTGTTATGAACCTACTAATTAACTTACCTGAGTATTCCCTCCGTCCGAAAATACTTGTCATCAAAATAGATAAAAAGGGTGTATTTAGAACTAAAATATATCTAGATACATCTCCTTTTGTCCATTTTGATGACAAGTATTTTCGGACAGAGGGAGTAGATGGTAGTTTACATGGCTTGTTGAAAATCGCAACTGTGTGGTGAATAAAAAGGTGGTTATGTATACGGTATACCCCACTTCTTTGTTTTTTGCGTTCAGTTTCACCAAAGTTTAACCAGGGCCGGTCCTGATATTTCGGGGGCCCAGGGCAAAATTACAACCTGGGGACAAAAGGAGATGTATCTAGATATATTTTAATCTTTATTTTGAAACAATAGACAATAATAAGTTAGGTAAAGGAATGAATCTAAAATAATAATCTCATTTCTTTTTAGATTCATTCCTTTACCTAACTTATTATTGTCTATTGTTTCAAAATAAAATGAAAATTGTAAATAGTGTATTCCTTTATTTAATTAGACAGGTCGAATACCTGACAGAGGGCAAACATCAAGATGAAAGGTTTAAAGTTTAAAAGCTTCATTTGCAACAATAAAAGATCATTTACCTACCCGACGGCTATGGGAGTCTGAGTGGCTTTATTATATAACCATGTTTGGATTGAAGTTATGTGTGTATAGCTGAGACCTTCTTCCAATTTTTAAGTTAAATTTGCAGTCATGATGATTTGGAGAGAGAATGCAAAGAACGACAATCGAACATATAGCAGGCAACTTTTTCAATAGATAAGGCGATTGGTGTTGTGTCGACAAAGTACAGACAAATAGAGCAACTGGCACACGAAATTAAAATTTTGTACTGCGTCATATGCGAGACCTTCTAAGATCTACTGCTACTGAACCATATGAACGTGACCAACTAGAAAGAGCAGGTTAGGGATGACCTTATAAGTGGAGTGGCTTCGTCTTGCACATGACAGGCATCTCACGAACGGGGGATAACACAATGGGACTGGGGACCTGGAGGAAGACCAGCCGGCCGCATGGCGGAGAGCGATCTACATCGGCGCCGCGACTCGCGGTCGGGGCCCTCGGGGGAATAGGATCGTCGCGAAGTGGCGAACTCGCGATGGGAAGAAGGAAAACAGGAATTTCTCCGTGCGCTCCAGGTCGATGCCTCCTTATGGTCTGGGCCATGGGCTCCTTGTGAACCCTGGAGGGGCCCCCTAGATTTTGGGGGCCCTGGGCGGCCACCCCCTCGGGGCCGGCCCTGAGTTTAACGACCTGAGGAGGTCATGACCCTAGCAAAAAAGCAGCCGTACAGCTTTGAACCCTACCGCATGAGTAATACTTCCTCCGTTCCTAAATATAAGTCTTTCTAGAGATTCTAATAAGAGACTACATACAGAGCAAAGTGAGTGAACCTACACTCTAAATATATCTATATACATCTGTATGTAGTTCACGGTGGAATCTCTAAAAAGACTTAGTACAAGTATCTTGTTCGTTCCGTTTCTTTTTGACCTCCCGAATCAGGAAAGAGTTTCTTCATCTATCAACTTCCTTGTCTCCCAGCACGTCAACGGCCTTGAGGCAGTCCGATTCAACAACTATGGGCGAAATAGTCCATTGTAGAGCTAGCGAAACACCTTCAGAGATACTAGTTGCTTCTGACTCAAGAGTGTCCTGACCTGTGATTAAAATGTCCAGCCTGTTGCGAAGCTAAGACCATCTCCAACAGACGCCGAACGCGCCACGCGCCGCATGCCCATCATCTGGTTTGGCGCGGCGCGCAGCGCTAGCTCCAGCAACTGCGCTAAAGTGCAGCGCGCGCGTCGCTTCAGCAACGCGTAAAAAATGCAGCGCGCACACAATATTTTTTATTTTTAGAACCGGAAACATAGATAAATAAAAATTAGATAGATTGCATAAATAAAAAATGATACAAAGGTATTTTACATCGGTGCAACTAGATAGATAGTTCGAAAGCATAGATAAACTACGACACAACTAGATAGAAACTACTTCAAGTCGCTATCATCATCACCATCATCATACTCGTCGGTGTCGTCCGAGGTATCGAGCCGTATGTCCAACCAACGATCATCATTTTCCGTGAAGAACGATCTCCCACCTGCTGCAACGATATCTGACTGCGCATTCGCCAATGCCTTTCGCCCATGCTTCTCCAACCGCGAATTGCGGCACCTTCGCGTGTCCTCCTCGCGGCGCCTTGCCCAGTAGGATTGCTTGTAGGCGACGTCCTCCGGGTGGCGCCGACGCCACTCCCCCATGACCCGCTCGTCCTCCTGGGCAACGAGGAGGCGGCGCTGCCGCTCAGCGTGCTCCACACGGTCTTCTGCCGTGTTAAGACGAGGCGACGGGGCGACGTCCAGCGCCTGCTGGAGCGTGTAGACGTCCTGGAAATTCATCTGCCCGCGCGGCCTGCCTAGGCGCCACGCCGCCGCGTCGTACGCGCGGGCGGCCTCGTGCATCGTCCCGTAGG